CGGTTTTCTACTTTTCCGTATACGGTACTATATGAATGAATTGTCTTAGTAGAAAAATATTTCATTTGTTATACAACCGGTTTAAAGAAGTCAAGCTGTACTTATACCTGTCTTTAAAACTGGTATAATGCTACCAATATTTTCCGTGTAAAAAGCGTACTTTCCACCGCTAGGTGGCTTTCTGAAGTACATCGATTATTTTTCACTTTTTGAAGCAGAGATGAGCTTCCTTTCTTTGCTAAAAGACTCTAAGATCCTCAGTAATTGTTTTAAAAACAAAATGAGAAACAATAATTGATGTAAAAAATATTTAGAATATAGGCGAAATGGTTCTAATGTTGGCCTATGGATCTAAGATTGGGTCCATCGCTAAAAAGCTGCTATTTATCAATTTTATCTAGATGAACGCGTCATTGGGACGGTACTAATAAATATTTTTGGTTACCATTGAAAATTTAGTCAATTACTGAATTTGTGTATGGGCCCAAATTACGGACATTTAGGTTGACATTACATACATTTCCTCTACTTCAAAAACTATCAATGTTACCCCGTTTACATGTCTGATGATGATGATGACGAGTAAATATTTATTTTTTTTCTTTGGTTTGTTTTCCGTGCTGAGCACCAATGCTACCGACGCCAGGGAGGCAGCTCCCACACCTGGACCCTACCTATTTTTTTTTATTTTTATTAATAATAGGATTTTAATGAAAAATTGATCTTCAGCAAATCTGTAGCTGAACTTCCTACAAGTTCAAAGTTTTTATCAGGAAAATATGTTTATGAGAATAAATAATTTCCGCAAAGTAATTGCTATATAAACTTGAAATCCGTTTTCAACTGGATGAGTTGAAATTTTGGGAGGATTATCAGTATCAGATTTAGTTCCGCTTGAGCCCTGTGGAACAAAAATATAAAAAGTTGCATCAGTCTAATAGGTAATGTATGAACTTCCATTCGAACGGAATAAACTCGACCAAAAATTAGGTTAATGATACAACGTAATAATTAATCATTTTCCTCCCCGGTTTTTCCCCCGAACGCGCGAGGGGTGTGAATAAAATAGATATTTAATTTAAATTGTTTCGTTCTCGGTGGAAATTATCGTACAGTAAACAATACGATATTCAGCGTTGAAGGTTAATTAAAATTAATTGCTGTTTTACATCGATATTCAGTGGGTCGGGCCAATAAATATGCAAACCAGCCTTCCGAAAAGTAAATAGATAGATGAGATGAATGTTTTTAATACTCGATTTGTCAGTGAAATGAAACTGTTACGAGGGTATTTTCCATGATCCACTGTGAATTACTATGTGACCAGAGCAATTCAGAAATCATACATTCTTTCCGATACACATGCGTACACAATGTAGATACTATGAAACTCAAACAACACTTTGAGAATTTCAAAACAACTTCACCCTAATTACCCAACATCTTTGCAAATGACGCGTTGATTAATTAATGGTGGGCATAAATTCTACACCCCTTTACATTTTATGATTAATTTAAAATGCACTCTCGCACATGCCCTGCTAAAAACCGTTCAAAACTCTGCCAAGACAAAACTTACTGCCGCCTCTAAGACGTTCCATGAAAACATTGTTTCAATTGCCATTAGGATGACGACGACGATGGCGGCAATGATGATGATGATAATGATGGATGGAGGTGATGAATATGAAGGCTGAGGAGAGGGAAAAATGAATGGCGGATATTGTATAGGAAAAGTGTTCCCTACTTAATCCGTTTTTTATGCGGGAATTTTTCCTCATTTGCAACGCAGACATTCTTCCGGGTACGGAGGGGGAGGGACTGAGGGATGTTGGGTGAATGGTGGTGGGCGGTGGCGTCTATTAGGCAAACAAAACTCTCCTCAGTCTCGCCACCAAAGTCAACACAAACAGGGAAAGTGTAATTGAGTGTGCCAAGTTTGCAATCAAGGGATTTAAATACAACCCTTCTTGGGTACTGGTGCTCTCAAGGCGGGAGGCAACGTTTATGGCAATGACTCTCGAGACACTAGACATTACGGTTTCATTGTGAAATGAATGAAGGCAGACAATAAAAGTCAGCTCAGCGAAATGTAATGTTATTTCTGGGTTGAAATTATTAGAAGCACAATTGTTTGTTGCGGGAGGTTTTATAGAAAATTGAACGATAACTTTATGATTTGTGTCATTTCGGATGCAAGATAATGAAAATATTCAAAGGAACGAGGTTTGTATTTAGAGATCCAGATATTTTAGATATATACATCACCTATTTAACTGTACATGACACAATCACATTATTTTGAACAATTTTACCAAATATCAACCAAAATTTTACCTAAGTTTAAATGAATGAATAACTGCAGAATTCCACTGTTAACATTTTTTTTTCATTTTTTTTTTTTTCAATTTCGACTGTAAACCCGAGCAAAGCCTGAGATCAAATTGAAATCTAAATTTGATGTTGTGATTTCGCTGCTCATGATTACACAGGTTGCTGTCGTTTTGATCGTTTTAACGGTTAAAATATCAAAATTGAGAGCAAACATATCTTCCTGTGACATCACATTGAAAACTATTTCTGCTATCAGTGAGAGCAAACTGAAAACCAAATTTGTTATCCATTTTTCCTGTTGATAACAAAATAAGTATTCAATTTGATGTTATGCTAAGGCAATGAAAACAAACCCGTAACAACATATTTTTAAAGAGCAAATGTAGAGCAAAATGAAAACAAAATTTGGTATCAAATTTGTCAATGTCTAAACTGAAATCAAATTATGATTTCAGTTTGATGTTGATATCAAAACTTGATATCAATTTGCTCTGCCTGCTGGACTTTGCTCTAGTAGTTTTTTAGATACTGCTAAAAAATGAAATTTCACTCAAAAAAAGTGTGTTTACCTAAAATATAAATATCTCCGGCTGTAATAAGGCTATATAAATTATTTTAACGACAAATTAAAAGTAAGAAAATTTGCTTTTGATTAACTGGAAATCGTTTTTCAGTTAGCACAACCACTACAAAAAATATTTACTTTGCTTATAAACTTAGCTAAAATCAAATTTTCCTTGGAAATATGCAAAAAATTAATAAAATACACCAACTTTTAATTTACAACAATACCACTAATCATACTGAAAAATTATAGCTGGTTCATCGAAAACAAATTTTCTCACCGTTAATTTGGCGTTAAAATAATTCCCTCCTCTTGGCTAGTTTTTAACGTGGACGTTGGTGGGCGGGCCTAATCTTATGCTTCATAGTGGAGCGTTGGAGATGGTTGGATTTGGTCCGGTATCGTTGGCTCATGCCGTGGCAGAATAGCGTCATGAGCATGTGATGAGGATTACTGAGCTTCCAAAGTTCTAGCCTGAAGTGATAGTATCACACTTGTTACTCCTTTGTTTGAGAGCCGCGTTGTAGTACGCTTACGTATAGGCACTGACGTTGGGTGCGATACTGGTGGGTTTTTCCGCAAATCACTGTTATTTTATTTATTTTTACGCAGATAGATTTATTTGGGTTTGCAAGGGAATTATACTAGTGAAATATTTCAGAAAGTGCTCAACAGTGCTCCTTCTACTTGCGTGACAAGCTTTCGTTGTTGTTTTCATTGAGGTATTACTCAGGGAACAATGTTAAACACCATTTTTTTTTTTCATGGTATTGTAACTAATCTTATATGTGCTTCATTTTGATTTGGGATAAGTGTTTGAACTATGTCTGGGGATTTCCACTGTGGCGTGCTTCTATTGTGACAAACCCATACGTATTATTGTGGTGCGACATAGTGGAAACGTGTGAGCATAGTTGGAGCATATACCCAATATAATTTAAAAATCAGCTAGGAAACTAACTTCAAAGTGAAACATTTTAGTCACTTGAAGGTGTCACTTGGGTCAAACTAAGATATAATAAACAGGTATAGGTCAAAATCAAAAGTACTTGAGACACGTTAAATTTTAGATTACATTCACAAGTGCAGGTACTTAATAAAGCATGGGTTATAATTGGCTAGGTAGATTAGAGATTTCAATTATTTAATAAATTAGGCTAATGAGATATCATAATCATCAAACGAACTTAAAAAAGAAAATTTAGGCAGCCTAATAACATTAAGTAGATTAACAAAAGAGTTAGGATGCGAGGGGTTCGCTTAGCGAGGCAACTAGCCTTGAAAGCAACTGCCAACTAGCCTTTTCATATATTTTCTGTTTATTTTGATGGTTGCTTTAAAATATTAATTGAGCATATAGGGGAAATGGCTCTAATGTTGGCCTATGGATCTAAGGCCCATCGCTAAAAATCTGCTATTTATCAATTGTATCTAGATGAACGCGTCGTTGGGACGGTACTAATGGATATTTTTGGTTGCTATTGAAAATTTAGTCGATTGCTGAATTTATGTATGGATGTTTTAGTGGGAGATGGATTTTTGGTTTCTTTACATTTTGCAGTACAAATCTAGTACTATGTGTCATTTCCTCAAAACCCCTCAATAACCGACCTCTCCAATCCCATGGCGTTCAAGTGGTCCGCATAGACTATTCAGCCATTACCCTTCCTTTATCCTCGGCTTTGGATTGACTTGCGCTCCCATTACCCCACCAAACGCTGCAGAATGAAAATGAAAATGTTAATTTGGTGTTAAAATAATTGTTATAGCTTATCACTGTAAAAATCACGGACTCAAACCTGGCGAGCTGACTGAAAAATTCAGGACCCTTCTAAAACATATTTGACATTTCCGTAATTTATATTTACTTCAATACCCACAGCTTCTTATCTGGTGGGGTGTATTCTAATTTTCCAATGTATTCATGTGCCAGACACTGAGATTCACATACCCTTTCTCACCAATCGGCTCTCATCTTTATATTCATCGCCAGTAATCGCATCAATTTAACCTTTTGCCTGCGTTCCATTTTACTGTCACTCACTCACGTTCTCATTCTCGTTTCCATTCTCACACCTTTCTTTCTCCCGTTCCAATCTAGGCGTCATTGTTCCGTATATTCCAACGTGTATTTCACGCCCCCAAAGATGCTCATCAGGAGGAGCTCCGACGATTCGGTGTTTATATCGTTCGCCAGTTTACCGCGCTGGCACCGAATAATCCGAAAATCTACGCTGAACTGCTGTTCTACAAATCGATTAAGGAAGCGAACGGAATCGAAATGGGATACGAGGATATATACGGGAATAACATGTAAGTTGCTTCGTCTCGTCGGTACCTTTACATCTGCTGCAAAAACGCTTCTGACGCGCTTTCCTCCAGTCAGTGTGCCACAAACAGTGTATAAATGATGATTTTTCTGCTTTTCCGACGCTCGTCGTCGGGGCTTTTCTTCCGTTTCTTCTCTATAGCGGCAACGGTGGAGGTGTTAAAGGTGTGTGGAACGAAGAGCAAGAGGAAGAGCTACGGCGACTGTTCATGGAAAATCAAGAAAATCCCGAAAGCGATCAAGGTAAGACAAGTTTTGCTTTTGGGTTGCAGGAGGAAATGGAAACGGGATCAAGGAAATTATATAAAAATCTTATCTGTCGGTGAGTTTTCAACATTTTTACTTTGCGTAAATTGAATTGGGGAAAAGCTATCGCTGGCTTTTAAGGTAGCTGGTACCTGCCCACGTTAAGCGCATTCCATTGTTGAAAATTGGATATCGACACGCCAACGTGTCATTTAATTTGCCAGAAAGCATCAGCATAAAGGTTTAAGCGGTGACGATAGTAAGAAAACGCTCGTAGGACTGGTTGAAATCCTACGAGCCACTTCATGTAGGATTTGTGTATTATGTATTTCATCAGCATTGGATTTCACTTCCTACTCTGTTATTTCTATTGACAATGACAATTTTTAGTTCTACTAAACACATAATTTACAACCTCTTTGTGTAACATACAAATTTTAATCATCTAATGATTTCCGAATTCCAAACAACAATTTTTTTATAGCAAGTGAGTGGAAGCGGAGTGGATCATTTTTCATTCTTTACAGTTCACGTAAAATGAAATCGATCAGTTTACACCTCCGTCGAAGGGAAAACCGATCCAAACCGACAGATATGCTCTTTCTCGAAACGTCAATTTTTCCCTTAAATATTTGTGAATTGGGTTTTTCACGCAGGTCTAGTATTTTTTTATGAGATTTATTGTTACTAAATTACTAATTGTTACTAAATTACTAGGAGCCGCTAAAGTACACAAGCATCTACGTCCTTAACTGCCTGCATAACAGCAATGTTAAGAATAATGCATGGAATTACACTTTTTGTAACCAAGTGAATCTTTGCCATTGACGAAAACATTAATGAAATGTATGTTGATGAAGGCTGTGAGAGCCAATTCTACAAGTGACCATGTGAAAAATAATGTTGTCAATATAGCAATGACAATGACGAATCTCAGCACTGATTGGCAGAATTTCGTAATCAGAAACAATCAGCACCTTTAAGTTTTTTTTTTTGTTTTTTGGTTCTGCATACATTTTTCCGGCCAGCAATTACTGTCTGCTCCTGGTTGACAGCACAATGAATTGTGTCGTATGAGCGAAAGAAAAGTGCTGATTGTGTCAGCTAAATTCACCCGGTAGGAATTCTTACCTAGTACAACAATACATTGAGCTTAAAAAACATGAACGCAAAACATGTATAGTTGGAACATAAACCAGAGCACCATCTATCACTGTCACTGAAATAAGTTTCTGCAGGCGAAGGCGAATTTAGTGAAAATCCGCACAGATGTACACAAATAGCAACTTCATTGCATACGCCCTGGTTTTGTTCGCTGTATAGAGCCTTCACGTTACTGAGATTTTGCTATTTAATTTCTTCATTATAATGCTTATTGAGCAACGCAATTCGGGCTTGTTTTTTTTTCTCTATATTTTTACTGCATACCTACCATTTCAAAATGAGAGCTAAACAAATACAAATTAGGATTAGGAACGGTTTTAAATGCCATATCCATCCTGTTCTTTGTCTAGTAGGTGTTGTGTATTGTCCATTGTATTGTATGCAACTGATAACGATAGTGAATTGTATTTATTTTCTTTGTAAAAACCGTTTACTAACATTTCCATTTAGCGGTGGCTTTTCGATATCTGGGTGTGACTGTGAGCAATTCTATGATAAATGAACAAACCAAACAGTCGTTATTTATGAATACACCTTCGAGACTATTTTCGATAAGGACTAGGACTTGTTTTGACAGTTGATGATTTTTATTGTGTATTTCAAATAGCAAACATACAAACTACCCCTTCAAAAGTAAAAGTTTTGTTTCAAGTGCAACAGTGAGAGAACTGACTGAAGAAAAACGAATATATATTGTGACCAAGTTGTTACCGGCGGGTAACATTGTTTCCATATTTTTTTTTTAGTACACGGGATATAGCTGTGTTTATATTAGGGGATGATATTGTCATCTGCAACGGTCAATTTGAATTCGTGGGCGGGTGGCATAAGTGGTCAGTCGATCGAACAGCAAAACGGTGAGTGCAGGTGGGTGGTGGCGATATCCACTGAACTCGAAGAGAGTGTGGGCGGAAACTCTCCCTGGAGAGAGTGACTGAGCCCACAACGGAGGAGAGTGAGCAGATAACGGAGGCTGGTGAAGTGCCAACCACCGAAGTAGCAAGACGTGTGCTCGTGTGTCGTCCCGCGGTCAGTCACTGCTAGTGCTTGTTATAAATCGCGAATTGTTCGATAGTGACGATCACCTGGCTATCAGTGACCACGTGCACAGTGATAAGGCGTACCATTGCGGGATCACCGCACCTATCGTCCGATCGAACCCCGGTCATAATCCGTCCACCGACGGGCTGCAATTCAGCTGCCACCAAAGTTGTGACCTATCACAATCACGATCGTCAAACAGCTGATGGTAGTAACGCTTTGAACATTTCTATCAATGTGCTCGTCGAAGTTCTCTTCATGACCATCCATCAAGTTGACGAAAGAAGTAAAAAGCAACTGATGAATGTCGTCTTCGATTGTGACCCATCACCGATCTGGTCATTCCCGACAATCACGACACTCATATGTGCTCGTTTTGAAGCAGTTGCTGCTTTGCTTGCTTATGTGAGTGTGTTGGTGCTTCCATTTAATTTTGCTTGCTTTGTTTGTAACTCACACAGTCGCGCCTGCCGAGACGAACTTGGAATGCTTTTGCATTGTTTTCATTTTCTTCTGTCGTTTCGCTTTTTCTCATCATCGTACTGCAGAGGTCTTCACTGTTTTTGTTGTGCTTTTCATCATCAGCAGCGAGTGTATCGTTTTGCTTGTGAGCAGCGACCATTACTGATGATTTTTGTTTGCCTGGCTCTACCTCTCACTGCGTGATAAAACGTTCTGTCAACGATAGCCGATTGATGCGTAGAGGAGTGTCACGTGAGTGTCATGATATTTTGCTTCACTGGCTGCCACCCGGCCACAGCCCGGACGCCTTCCAGCTGCTCTAAGTATCCTCCACCCGTCACCACCAAAGCCTAGTCAGGTTTGTTTGCCGTCAATCAATAAATCGTTTAACCGTAGCGTTTGATAGGATTCCTTCTCCGAAAACTCGCCCACACCCGTACGCCTTGAGACCCGGAACTATCAGAGGCCGAGGCCGGCTTGCAGGTCCTAGCGGTTCCGGGGCCTAAAAGTGTCTGTTCGCACAGCATGCGTTAAGAGCCAATTCTCCGTACCTGTCTTTTGCATCATGGCTACATCGACGAATTTCACCACCTAGGCAGATTGGATCCTGCACTGAACCGAAACCGATGATGTGTCATCAGTCGTGTCATCAATGACTTCCGATGATTCAGTCAATATAAAAACCTAAGAAACCCGTCTAGGGCGACTCTTTTTGATTATACCGACCAGCAGATTAGCATCAAGCGAGGAATAGTGGAACTACTTACAGTGAAGATTAAAAATTGTGAATTATATACTCTAATAAGAAGTTAAATAAATTAAGAGTTTAATTAGTAGCTTAAAGCCACGTTAGTGAAATAAAAAGAAACTATTGGTGATTAATAAATCGTATGTAGACTAGCATTACTTACCTGTGATGAAGATCATACCTGAAAGGGAAGAATATACTTACCTGTGAATTGTAACACGAACCTGAAAGAAATTGATTATACCCGTGAAAACCTCCCGCCTTTCTGAGTATCGGAACATGGTCCTTCGAGCCGGATGAACGTCGAACTCCGTTCATCAACGAACTGTCTGCCAGAACCGCCATCTTGCTTCTGGAACATTCTGGAGAGGTTGCCACGTGGTATTCGCCAATCACCGTTTGGATTACGCCATCTTGGGCATTGCTGTCCCGCCAGTGTAGTTGGCGTTGATATACTACAAGGCATTAAACTGCCTATATCAGGTAATTAGATTTCCAATTATCTACACCCGTATCGTTTGAGCTTGGCGGTCTTTTGTTTGCAGACCATGACTTCAAACGAACGCCGCATTCGATACCTCAAGCTGCGACTACGCAGTATTTCGTCGTCGTTTACACTCATCAAGCAATTCGTGGACAAGTACGATGAGCAGGAAGATGAGACTGAGGTTCCAGTGCGCCTTGAAAACCTTGTTACGCTGTGGGCTGAATTCAACAAAGTACAGATCGAGTTGGAGTCGCTGGATGATGAAACCTTTGAGGAGCATCTGAAGCAGAGAACGGAAATGGAATGCCAGTACTATCGCGTAAAAGGGTTCTTGCTCGCCGTGAATAAATCACCTTCACCGTCTCTAAGGTCCCCGGGTACTTCAAACGCTCTTGTCTCTGCTTCGACATCGCATTTGCGGTTGCCTGATGTGAAGCTTCCCGTATTCAGTGGAAGCCTAGAGAACTGGCTCAACTTCCACGATCTTTATCTTTCGCTAGTTCATTCCTCGCAAGACATCTCAAATATTCAAAAATTCTACTATCTCCGTTCATCGCTTTCCGGAGAGGCCCTCAAGTTGGTACAGACAATACCTATCAGTGCCGTCAACTATCCAGTCGCATGGAATCTGCTGGTTGAACACTATCAGAACACTAATCGTCTGAAGGCTTCGTATGTAGATGCGCTTTTTGAATTTCCCGCCATCAAACGAGAATCGGCATCCGAGTTGCACTCTCTCGTCGAGAAGTTCGAGGCCAACGTTCGTGTTCTTCAACAGTTAGGGGAACAAACTGACTCTTGGGATATCCTGCTAATACGCATGCTGAGTAGCCGTCTTGATCCGATAACCCGGAGGGATTGGGAGGAACATTCGTCCGAACTCGAGGAAGTCTCGTTCCAACACCTAACCGCTTTCATCCAGAGAAGGGTCACCGTGCTTCAAACCATCAACCACAAAAGTCCCGAGATTGCTCCGCCACTTGTGCCTAAGAAACAACCCACAATACGTCCGTTCACCAGTCATGGGGCTTCCCAGTTTAGCGCTAGAAAATGCATTCTTTGTACCGAGCAACATCCGCTGTACATGTGTTTGAC